CTTCAAAGTGTTTAACTATTGCCAGTGCTTATGAGCAATAAATATTTATTTTCAGACTTCAGAATACCTACACGTTTGATGGCGGAGAGTTGTACTTCGGGCGCTAACATTTACACATTTTGTTCAATAAATTTCAAGACAAACCATTTCTGCGCCTTCAACAATTAGGCAACTTGTTGTTCAACGCACGGTGAGCGGAGAAGTGCGCTCGAACTCATGAGTTTACCCGCTGTACGGAGTGGCGGAAAATGGCAGGGTCTCAGCGCGCCCCTCAAAGGAGTGGCGAGAAACATGTACTACGCCCGTTGCGAAGGCCGTAAGAAGGAAGCGTGCAGGTGCATTCTAGCTCGGCCGTGACACAGTATAGCCAGGGAGGCCTTTCTCTCACACACACTTGGGGTAAGTTGACGGCTTTCCGACAATATACAATGGTTTTATTCACGGCGTAGGAGGCGCTTAATAAGGCTGTTGACCCGCAAGTCGAGAGGCGTCAAGCTACCGGGGATTACGAGCTTGTCGGTGCGCTCCTTCTGAAGCACTGCAACAGTTTCTGAAGCACCGTGGAGTAGAGCCCCAGATTTCTCGTTTCTTTTGGCCTTATTAGCGGTAAATGTTTCGGTTTTGATTCAAAGTCGACCGACTAACATTAAATTGTCAAATTTGAAAAAAAAATAAAAATGAGTCACGCTACAATCGTGTAAATGCGGTACCACGGTTTTCTGTCATGACCATGAAAAACAATAAAGGAAGACCTAGATTAGCCCACTTTGTTATGCGACCAGCTGCGGAGAACGTGAGCGAATCCACTTACACAACACGTAGACAACAGCACGTATCCAGCGCTGTCACCGTTCTGCTTGGCGACACGAACAGAACTCGTAAAATTTGAAGTTCTTTACGTCTGTTGCTATTCACAACGCAACTGTAGCGTCGAGTGAGGTCTGCAGCTATAGCGTCGGCTCTTGTTTTTGGCGTCGTTCTGGCAAACGAACCAATGAGCACTTCATGGCGGTTTGGTGACCCGTCTGACAAGCGGAGATAAATTACTAGCCTTTTTTGTGTGTGTTCGCTACGAAAGCACACTTGCTGTTTAGTTCAACTTTTGTTTCGCACGCACTAGTGGCACAAGGTTGCACCGAAAACTGTGCAAGAAAGTCGAGCTTAGCACTACCCACAAGCTACGCCGACAGGTGGCCCAACGTGTCTGCGAAACGGCTTAGTCTGACATCTACACAGTACAAATCATTCTGCATACTGCTTGGTAATATGGCAATTCATTGATTGATAAGTTGGGTTTAATGTGCCAAAACTACCATAGGAGTATGAGAAACGCCATAGTGAAGAGCTCCGGAAAGTTTGGCCCCCTAGTGTTCTTTAAAGCACGCCCAAGCCTGAGCCCACTGGCCTACAGCACTTTCGCCTTCATTGGAAATGCAACCACCAAAGCCGCGATTGGACCCCGCGTCCTGCGTGTCAGCAGCAGATTACTTTAGCCGCTAGACCACCTCGGTCAGGCAGGCAAAATGGCGAAATCTAGTTTTCATTGTACTAATGCGAATTCTTAGAATATATTATAAAGAGTTTACCAAAAGGATCCAAGAATTTGTTAGGACTTTGCCACACGCATTGTGGTTACGAGGAGAGCGATGCGAGAAAGAAAAAAACGAAAAAAAGGACGCTACTTTCTGCCCAATGTGATAACTCGGCACTCGTGAAGGGCTAAACGTGAGGGGCATGGCACTGACACCACTAAAAAGGTCAGAAAATTGAGGAAATAAAGCGCTTTTGGGAAAGTATGCAAACGTCTTGGTCCAAGCGCTTGCATCTGTCAAGACTGCACAAGCGCTCTCATGCTGCTCCCCCGCCCCCCGCCAAAAAAAAATAACGTGCACACCTTACCACCTGCCCTAATGGTTGGCTCTGGCGGAAAAAAAATGAACTTATGTCACTGCTTTTAGTTTTATTCAGGTGGCCTAAAGGTACCCGTACAAGCTTCGGAAGCGGAGTTCAGTCAGCGATTATATTTTTTGCACGGTAGTGTTGCAATAGCAGAATTTCACATCCTAAGGCACACGATGCATTATCCTCACGCGCGTTTCTAATTCAGATGTTGCTCTTCTTTTTTTATGCTTACACAGACTTTTAGAACTGCTGAGTGTGAACAACGCCATCAGCATTCGAGAAGCTTTACAGTTGTAGTACATCGTCCAGCGCCATGCCTGATTATGGGCCCAGTGTAGCGCTGGTACCAGCGCATCCCAGCGCAGGTACTGGGACGCTGGAGCAGCAGCGTCCCAGTACCGTCCCAGTACCGTCCAAGTAATCTGCGCAAAATGGCTTCACAGGGTTAAAACGAGGGTGTGAATTCGCCATATATAAATCAGTATATATGTAAAATAGCGCGCATTCACATTAAAAGTAAAAAAATAAAAATTGAAAAAAACATTAAATAAAACACCGCTTGACAGGATTAGAACTCGCACCTTTCTGATTCTGAAACTAGTACGTTAACCACTACGCCACGCCGGAACATGCGCGGAGGGTTGCAAACTGACTATGCATCCCAAGAACGCGCCGTTCAACTTCATGTTTACAAGTCGCACAGTGAAGGCTGACACGATATTTTCCAAATAACCAGTGCGTATTTATTCGACAGTGACGAACGGCTTCCGGACACCAAATGACGTGCTGATATTACCACGAGCGCAAAGTTTCTTGAAGCTTACACATCTTAACTCTGAAAAATCTAACATTGACTGAAGAAGCAGCCACAGATTGTCGGCTGTTGCTGCTGATAGTTTTTTGTGTGATAGTTGGTTCTTGCACTTGTTACTGGCGTATATGTACAGATGATTTTAATAGCTTGTTCGGTAGATATCCACGCATGCGAGTGAATAATGAGTATTATTTTTTTTCGTGCAAGCGACGATGTAGCAGTACACATCCTCCGTGCCAGATTACATATTTTTTACTAAATCATTTTACTGCCTTTGCTGCTACTATGTTATTTTGCGTAGCTGAGGCATCAATATCTATAACTTTAGATCCTCTAGTTGATACCTCTTTTTTTATATTACCAAGCAACCCATTGTATTTTAGGATGCCATCCTAGCTACCGTATTTCCGAACTCCTGGCCCCACAGGTCAGTGCAAGACGCTGCGATGACGCATTTTTCTAGACGTGACCTTCCTTCTGAAAGGCACTTTAAATAAATTTTTTAGAAAATTTCAGCCCAATTCTTTAGATTATATATCGCGTACAGCAATTATTATACTTGTTCGAGTTTAACGTCGCTACACAGCCATAGAATTATAAGACACGCTGTAGCGCAGGGCTCCGGAGATTTTGAGGAACTGAGGTTCTTTAAGGTGCGCCTGATTATAAGTACACGGGCCCCAAGCATTCTCACCTCCACCGAAAAAACAGCCGCCACGACCGGGATTTGATTTCGCGACTTGGTGTGCGACCTACGTTTTGTCGATAGACGAGAAACGGCGTGACGCATCTCTACGTGATCTCATCAACCGCCTGACTATTTACCCGACGAACAGTTTGCTTTGCATGTTTGTCATTATATAGGCGGCATCTTATACCACCGGAATATGCACCCCATAGGACAGGAGCTACTTTTCGTAGTACTCGCTCATATGAGGTCGGCTTTACTGCAGAAGCTGCATCATCTACTGACGGACAGCCGCCTTGGTGCTACTATTATGTATGACCGAGTTCACCGATGATTTTTCTGGCATAGCATCTACCATTTCGAACATCGTTACTTTGCTTCTTGTCAGTCTTGCCAACGGCGGGTAAAACCACCTGTATACACTGCCAGGCTCCTCCAACCTCTTTACATGTGTGCAAAGCGTTTCTTTTGTCTCGGCCTCGACCTTCTCGATCACTTTCCTCTTGCTAGCACATGAAACAAATGGATCACAGTCGCAACAGATTATTCAACGTGATTTGCAATCAGGAGACAGGTGCTCTGCAAACGCCACCGATTTCCTAATACAAGATTTCATTTTGCACCATGGCGCTATCCGCCAACTTCTCACAGACCAAGGTCGCTACTTTTTATCGTGATCTTCGATGATCTGCTTGTGGAACAAAGCACAAGCTTACCACAGCTTGCCATCCCCAGACAACACAGTCTCACGGGGCGTTTGAATCGCACGATGACTGATATACTCTCTATGTATGTTTCGACTGATCAACGTGACTGGGACACCACGCTACGTTTCGTCCCTTTCGGGGGCATCATCTCGTGCCATGACCCTACTTGATATTCTCCTATTCACCATTTATATGTACCAGAACCGCCCTTGCCTTTAGACACGTTCCAGCTCAGCCCTGCGAACCTGTTGACAGGGTATGCGTGCAATGCTATCACCACGGCAAGAAGGCACGCCATATTGCCCGTCGACGTATTGCTGACCCGCAAATGGGTCAGAAGTACACGTAGGACTGCCGCCACCGAAACGATCTCTTTCATCCGGGTGACCGTGTGCTCCTGTGCTCTCTGTCTCGGCATGCGGGCCTGTCCGAAAATATTCTGTCTGGGTACTCCCTAGCTGCTACATTGTGCTACGCCAGCTGAATGAATAGACCTATGACATAGCGCCTAACAACAATACTGCGTCGTGCGCATCTCCAGACGTCGTCCTCGTTTCCTGCCTGAAGCCGTACCTTTCATCGCGCACTTTATAATAAGCGCCGGGTTGGTGCCTTCACCGCCTCGGGGTAATGTTGCGGTGCCACGCTTATCACCATATTGAAGTGAGGAAGGAAAAGGAGGACGACGTTGGCTGGCGATGAAGAAGCGTATTTGTCCTGTGGCATTGTCTGTTGTCAATATCTCTGAAACTTGCTCATAAGAACAATAATAATTCCAACGTAAATGAAACTAATGTAGAAATAAAGATTACAATTCAGTTTCACATTCTAGCCACCCTTAGGCTATAGTGAGAGACGAACAAATGTTTATCATAGCCACCATACATACATCCTTTAGAAGTTATTGTCCAGACCACTGCACATGTGTTGTTTTTACTTTGGTAATGCAATACCTCCCTTGCCTTGCCACGTGGATCTGTGAAAACACAAGACAATTCACAGTATTTTCAACACGTGACGTAATATTTTGTTTCAAGCTGCATTTTCGTAGCTTAACTTCTAATTGTAGTTGACTCAGATTGCTTTATGAAATAACTTTTTATACAAAATGTTAAAAGAGGACAATGAAACTCACATTGCTCACTGAAGGTAATACGAACACCTCACGTAGTACTAATAAGCGAGAAGTCGTGTGAAAGAGTAAGTTACTTTTAATAGAAACAATACACATAATAAAATGTAGCTCCCCTAGTGAAAGAGCCATATCAAAAATAGAAAAGAGTAAAACGATGTGCAACATATATTTCTACAAATATTAGCAGCACGTAAATCATCAGTCATCGTGCATGTTATGATGTAGCGAGATGTTTCCTCATTATGTCATAACAATTGGTATAACATGAAAACAAACTGTGTCGTCATTGAAGTAGTTGGTCGTTTATTGAAGGATGGTATATGAGAACTTACGCAACGTTTCCTGATGTTTGAACGCCATGGTGCGGGTATGATTTAATGCACCCTGGTGTCTCCTAATTACACTTGTACATCTTGATAACTAACGCCACAATCATTTTAACCCATGTGTTAATTGAAGTGGTCAACATATAAGCGGTCACAGCGAAATGTGTGTGCCACCTAAGGATGGCCACTATCAACCACGTTAAACACTGGTACTCCGTCTTTGCTCATTCATAACGATTTGTCTTGATGAAAAAAAAAACGCCAGGGTAATGAACGCCTGGGCCTATTCGTAAAGGAAAACCAACGCAGCACTTCGGAAATGTGACTGCCGGAGCTTGCTGTTGGAACAGTGAACGTGCGAAGGCACTTAGTTTGCCGCTGATAGGGCTATCATTAGGCCAAATCTTTAATAGCGCAATATATATAAATATATATATATATATATATATATATATATATATATATATATATATATATATATATATATATATATATAGACGTTGCGAGGAAGGAAGCGCACTGGCTCCGTAGTATAAACGGAAGCGAAAAAGCACGACTAACGAGGAAACACTTTTATTAATCACATACGTTTCGGCTGGTGGGCCAGCCTTTGTCAGTGTGGTCACACTGACGAAGGCTGGCCCACTAGCCGAAACGTATGTGATTAATAAAAGTGTTTCCTCGTTAGTCGTGCTTTTTCGCTTCCGTGTATATATATATATATATATATATATATATATATATATATATATATATATATATATATATATATATATACATATATATATATATATATATATATATATTTATATATATATATATATATATATATATATATATATATATATATATATATATATATATATATATATATATATACGTAAATATATATATATATTTATTTATTTATTTCTACATTTTTTATTCATCCATTCATTTCTTTATTTGATACTAAATTATTCATAATGTACTGCCTCCTGGCGCGGGGTTCCATTGGCGAAGTTTCTTCGTAAAAAAGAAAGAGTTAGCAAAGGTTTCAGTGCAGCAGGAATATTATTTTTTTTTCTGGTGGTGTTACTGGGCTGCTCTCTTGAACACAAACTCTGTGTATGAATTGGCCTATGCCAAGGTCAAGATGGAATAGAAGGTGCATGAATTTCAATTGGTCATGCTTGTCCTACTTTTGTATATAGTAATTCAAATATTGCTTTTCTTTTACCAAAACACTCGCACAAGTGCGCTAGCTGTAGTAACCATTTACAAACCTAATCAGTTTAATAAGGACTCATTCTAGAGTGTTTTTGTAATTTTTATGCATGTCCTATCACTGGACGAATTAACGTTTCGTACGCTAGTAATTCAACCTCCTGTGTACATAACCACAAGTTTCTTTTTACGTAACCAATTTTCAACACAACTCTTCTTACAAATTCTCATATGTATATATGCAACCTCAGATACGACGTTAATATAACCCCGAGGTATTTTTATCTGTTGAAACTGGGGATAAAGTGGCCGATTGAAAAAAAATGAAAACTTCATTGCTGTCAGGTTTGTGCCAGGTTATCGCAATAGACTTTTTGTCGTTTATTTCCATTTGCTGATCTGTGCGCTACATTAAAATCTGTGAGAAATCATTGTTAAGTGAAGCCCGATCGCTAGGACTGTGAGTGTTGGGACAAGCTATGCAGTCATCAGCATACAGCTTATTGTTAATGATTACATTCTGAAATGTGTAATTAATAAATATTAGGAAGAAAAAACCCCGCATAAACGCTTGTGAAATTCGTGACTTCAGAAGTACAGGATCCGACAACATGTCGACCTTTCTGATTCACTGGTTCCCATCACACAGGCAAGCTAGAACAGTTGATATAGTTATTCATGAATAAACATAAGCCTGTTGACGCCGTTGCCTTTTTCTGCCACTTAATGCAGGCATTTTACTAGTCAGCGATGTCAAACATGAAGTAGTTGGCGACAAAAAATACCATTGGTACACGTGAATGTTCCACTATCCTCATGTCAAGGCGTTGCACGCTAGCATGAAGTAAAATTCAAAGCAGGTAGTGTGCCGTAACCGAGGAAAATTGCCCCTGACCGCGCATTGTACCGACTGTACAGTTGCCTACAATGTTGCATCAACTTACTCTATTGCAATGAAACTGGGTATAATCTCCTTGTCCCCGCCTATTTGTATCACGATGCGGTATTTATTTTCACCGATCCCAGACGACAACACCGCTTAGAAAGATCACTAAGCCATCAGTGTATACCGGAATCTATTATTTCTGCTTTTTAAATAGGTGTTGTGACATAAATTACAGAGCCACCCTGCCTCGTACATCGTTATTATTGCAATTATCCTGTATTGATTCTTTAGAAGTGGGTGGACCCATTAGCCGGGGCACGTAGTTAGAGCTAGCTTTCCAAAGTATCGACAAAGCTGCGGCATATACCTTGAGACCATAAGCGCTAACAACCAATTAGCGTCTAGAGAGGGTTTCGAATTACAGAAATAAGACGTTTTAAGGATGCAGAATGGCTTGGTAGAATAGTAGCCGACAATTTTCAACAGTACTATTAACATCCAAGGTGGGTTCCTGTATTAGAAAATGTGATACTGCCCACAAAACACTGAGACGTGAGCGCTTGGTGCGTTCTTATCACTACTAAGTTCGGTGAACAAATACTTTGTGCTGAAATTATTTTCATTGTGCAGGCTTAGTTCTGCGGTGTACGAGTTGATGGCTAGGGCTGAAAGAAGGGGGACGCAACTAGAACAACCAACAAGATTATATTCAAACATACAAAATACACAAACGAAATGAATAGAAAAGCACAGCTAGCACAATGAGGTGTAAAATTTATTTAAAAATTTTGCGCAAACGTCGTCCCACGCGTTTCGAGATTCACGAAGCGGCCATGGCGGCTTTCATTTATTAGAAGTGAAGGGCCTGGCGGGTTGTCGCACAGTCTGTGTCGTCTGTCCACCGCAGTAGGTGACATGTCACTTGCGAAGTCTTTCGGCCTTTGACGCCACGGCCTATTATTTTTTCTTATTTTTTTTGCACCTTTTTACGACGAGGCATCTCTTCAAGACGCCAACTTCTCTGAATGCAGTGCACGTGCCTGCTCATTTTCACCACGATTTCGTTGTCTTCTCCGCGACATCAGGGCATCTCACCCTGCTTTTGTTGTGAGGACTCAACCAGTATTGAAGAATGAGCACGTGTATTTCATTGGAATTCTTTCCCGGTAATTGGAACTTACCTCATTTTCATTCGGTTCGATGCCTAAGAATGCAGAAACTTAGCCCATTGCCGCTCCGGCTTGACAGGGGAGTTTAATTAGATTCTTATCATTCTCTAGTTTTAGAAAAGTAACTAATAGTAGATCGATTCAAGAACGAACGCCCCGTAATGTTAAGGTCATCCGATGCAAATTCGTTATCAAAGTCCAGGGATGGTTGCTTGGTGGCATAACTCGTGCTCAAAAACCGCATTATTATTTCTCAGTCCAGCGGTTTCCTATAGTATTCAAACGGTCAGCATATTTGAAATAATGGTGTTATTTTCTGTTGCTTAGGATTTCATGTGCTGATGCTAAAACAATGGTGTACCGTTTTTTATGCTGACAAAAGTAGTGTTCAAGAAGACTTAGGAGTTTAGCCAGTGCTCTTGAGCACTCGTGAATATGAAAAAATAATATTGTGTATACGGAACAAAATCCTCTAGATCAGCTTGTACTAGTTGCATGGACGTAGCTAAGTAGGACCGTAAACCTGCCCTCATACATTTTCAAATTTAGTTTCGTTGCACGCACGCACACAAACACATGCAGCAACACGAATAAAGAATGCCCAAAACTTCCCTGAAAAATTATGTCTGCGCCGATAATTATTCATCTAATTACCGCTCGGGCACATAATTACCGCTACTATTATGCTATTATGCTCGGGCATAATTACCACTCGGGCACATTTTGCCTTTGCATCAAGTAAGGAACACTGAGCCACGCTGCTTTGCAGCACTTACACTTACGCAAGCATGAATGGGGTGAGGAGAGATTTCTGCGTTTGCCTGTGCGCAGCTAAGAGATGCTTTCGTTGTCACAAATACTATTTAGCTGTGTAACGCACTAAACTTCTCTTGAAATAAAGATCAAACTGTGCGCACAGTATTCGCCTATTTAATTTCCAGGTATTGATACGCAACTCGAAGGCCATTAAGAGCTGACACGCTGGGATGCAAGAGAGACGACAACACAACGCGCTAACTTGAACAATTTTTTTCCCGGAAAAACCAACATATTTATACGTGCACAGTGGCGCAACCAGTCCACCCACTAACCAACCAAAAAAGCTCTCTCTAGATCTTAAAGGTCAATTGATGGTGTACTCACACACGTGTCACTATTGAAGAGATAGCTTGGGCTTCAATTGTCTCTCGGACGTCTTTATGTTTCACTAGTACCATGCGAGATTCATACATAGGTGCGCAAACGCATTCGAAG